CAAGTTGTTTGGTGGAGATTAAGATGCTAATCAGTTGTCAAGCAAGGGATTTAATTATTGGAAGAATATCAAGATACGACTGAGTCAACATGAAATTAGTCATTTCCATATCATGTGTATGAGTCAGTGGATGAAATTAGAATTGAGGCTAAAGAAGAATCAGACAATTGATAAGGGTTTCCAAGAAGAAATCAATAAGAGAAAACCCATTGGAGGGAGGTTTTGTTGAGAATATTTTCACTGGTGACAACTCTTGCTAAACAGAATTTAGCTTTTCGTGGGACTAATGAAAAGTTTGGTCAAAGAAACAATGGAAACTTTCTGAGTTTCGTAGAATCATTCAGAGAGTTTGATCCAGTCATGCAAGAGCATATTAGACGTGTTAAAGAAAGTAAGACTCATTACCAATATTTAAGTCACATGATAACACCGTATTTTGACCACTTTTATGGATCGTTTTGAAATACTTTTTCTATGTTTTTAATTGCTTTTAAGTACTTTTATTACGTTTTTCTAGTATTTGTAGTTCCAAGACTCTTTTCAGGTAACTTAGGGAAAAGCTTAACAAAATGGAGAGAAAACCAGATTTCAGCTCAGAGTCAAACCGTCAGAAGTTCACCCTTGATTGAAGGCCTTCTCACCGTCTGATCCAGCTCAAATTTGGAGACCTTAAAGATGGAAGTATCAGCTTTCCATTGCACTTTACAGCTTGGCAATCCAACGGTTCAATCAAAAGATACGCGAAGAGCAAGATGTCCCGTAAACCAGCTGGCAAGCACTTCCACCCGCGGCCAACAGACAATTTCCCGCGGTCAGGAGCATCCCGACCGCGGCCAAACACTTGTTCCCCGCGGTCACACTTGTCCCGACCGCGGCAAGCTAACTCCAAGCCCAAAAAGCCCATTTCTGAAGCCCACATTTGGAGAAACCCTAAGTGACGTCCAGAGAGGTCTTGAGCATTATAAATACATGTCTTAGGAACCCTAAATGAGACAACCGATCACCACCAAAATATTTACTTCATATTCTTATTGTTTTTGCTTTAGCTTTTAGGGAGAGAGAGATTTGTTCTCTTGAACCCTTGTTCTTTCTTTTTCAATTTCGGTTTCTATTCTACTTATTAATACTATGCTTTTGATTTCGTTCATTATGTCTGAGTAGTTTTATTGTTGGGATTAAGGGATTTTCGATGGGGATTTATATGTTCGATGAGGATTCCATGAGCTTTTGAGCCGAATCTTAGAAATTTTTCTTCTGAATTCGTTTTTACTGCATGAGAGTAGCGTCATGAACTACAATCTGATCCAGATGCTTGGTGACACGAAAGTGTTCATCAGGTATCAGATCTAGTTTGGGAGAGCAAAACAAACATAGGAGTGGAAACCTACCTATGGGCGATTTGTGAATTAGGACGAGTCTTAAACATAATGCATCTCTTCTCTTCCAGGGCCAGAGTGGAAACCTACTGGTCAGGGTTGAGAGAGATAGTTGTCTACGATCACGACAGTGGCGTATTCATACGTCCGTGACTCCAGTTCGAAAAGTTTAAGCTAAGATCTTATCAAATTTACTCTCTAGCAATGTTTTGAATCGTTTGTACCCCTGAGAAATCTTCCCTGAAGCCCAACGCCTTCTTCCTTATTGATTTACACCGATTTTCTTTTAAGATTTAGTTCAATATTGTCTTTCCTTTTTAGTTCATTTTCATTTAAGCATTAGAATATCCGTTTTTTTATCATTTTTAGTTATTTTCATTAAGTTTAGTTATTACGTCATTTAATTTCCGTATTCTCTTTTAATATTTCGTTTTTACATTTTAAACACACTACCAAACCCCCACTAAACCGTTTTTGTTCTAGACTTCCTTACTTTAACTTATTTCAAAGGCTTTTTGCAGGAAAAGATCCTCCTTCCCTGTGGATTCGATCCCTAAATACTACAATTGATCAGCTGTGCACTTGCGGCTATTGATTTCAATTAGGGTAACACTTGACAATCCTCGACACCACCACATCAAGTCACCATCATCACACTATTCAAAATGAGTTGATTGTTATGCTAGGGTCTGAGGTCAAATCTATGATCATTAAAAAAATTCAATAGGCCAAATATTTCTCGGTTATTCTAGATTGCACTCCAGATAAGAGTCATAAAGAACAAATGAGTCTTATTATCAGATTTGTGGATATCTACACGGCTAAAACACAAATTAAATAGTTTTTATGACATTCTTAGAAGTTGTAGATAAACCTAGAGAAGGGCTTTTTGAGTTGCTTTGTTCGACAATGGTTGGTCTTAATTTGAGTATTGATGATGTGAGAGGGCATGGCTACGACAATGTATCTAATACGAAGGGAAAACACAAAGGAGTAAAAAAAAAAGAGTGCTTAATATCAATTCAAGAGCATTTGACCTCATCAGATAACGAGGAACCCTTACCCCATAATTAAGTCATCAAATTTTAAGAGCTTGAAATAATGGATAAAATGTCAGGTGAAAAATTCATACTTGATGACTGGTCCACAGTTCAAGTGAGGGAATTGATCAATCAATCATCAGTTAAATCCTGATGATTGAGCACTTGTGTTTAGAGTTAATTTCCATGACCCTGATTCTTCTAGTTCTAGCCAAAACATGTTTTAGTTGATGACTATTAGAAAAACAATAGGAATAAGAAAAAAAGGAACGTAAAGAAATATAATATATAATAGGAATATAGATAAATAAAATGTAGAGAATGAATGTAATAGACGCTTAGAATGAACGAAAACTGTTTAGGAAATTTTTGGTCTTTTTGGGGCAAGTCTCCTACAAAACAAGAGAAAATGTGAAGTCCGGAAAATATGATGGTGGGTGGTTTTCGATGGCTCTTCGACGCTTAAGTCAGAAAACGGTAAAAGGAAAAATCACTAATAAGTAGCAAATTGAAAAGAGAAAAGAAATATTGGAAATCAAAAAGGAAACCGCACCGAGAACTCTTAAGAAAGGATAAGAGTCTACTCAGACCTGAGTTTAGTGAGTTTTTTTGTGGTGGAAAAAAAGAGGGAGTGTTAAGAGTTTAGGGTGGAAATGTTCAATGGTTTAGGAACTGCCATGGAGTGGAGTGGAAGTCAAAAAGTGGTCGAAATGATGACTGGAAAATGAGGATGTTAAGCCTTTTTTTGAGTTACGAGTAACTAAGGAGATAGCATAAACTCAAAGGTAGTGAAAAGACTGAACCCCTTTCTTGTTGGAAAAGGTTAAGTATCTATAGAGTTTTTTCTGACCCGGGTTAGTATACCAGGTCGGACCTTGGATTGTCGGGTTGGTCTGGGATTCTAGGTGGTTGGATCTGAATCTTATTGCTTGTGTCATATTTTTGACGGTCTCATCGACTATCATTGGCATCTTCTACTAACTGCGAGACCAGTCTTTGGTGCGTCTCTTTCACTCTCAGTGTACGGTTTAAGTTCGGCGGTTCAAACGTGGCAATGCCTTTGCTAAGCCTCTGTATTCCTATGTATTCTGAGTGTGGTCACTATCACCTGACACGTGTAAGCATTGAGCATTAAATGCTGATCTCATAGGTTTACAAAAGTATGAGCAATCGATTTAGTCAAGCGCATATTCCAATTGTCGAGTGGAGATCTTCTACTAACTGTGAGACCAGTCTTTGGTGTGTCTCTTTCACTCTTAGTGTACGGTTTAAGTTTGGCGGTTCGAACGTGGCATGGCCTTTGCTAAGTCTCTGTCTTCCTCTGTATCCCGAATGTGGTCACTATCACTTGACACGTGTAAGCATTAAACATTAAATGCTGATCTCGTGGGTTTACAAAAGTATGAGCAATCAATTTAGTCAAGCGCATATTCCAATTGTCGAGTGGAGAGAAATTTGAATAGTGTTCCCACTTAAGAATATATTCATATCTGGTCTAGATCCTTTGATACTATGACCGGACTGTCGAGGTTATCTAGCTGGTTATCGCCTTTCTCTAGGTACCTGTGTGGATTACACTTCCTTAAATCTTGATCATTCTATATCACTGAACTTAGGTTTAAGATATAAAGAAGACAACTTTTTTCTCCTCTTGACCACTCCTATCCAACTGATTTCCTTGTTCCTAATAGCATGGTGTACACTATCAGATACAAAAAATACAGGAACAGATGATCTTCATGCGGATCTCCTGAATCTGATGGATTCGAAACCTGATGTTATATATGATTAAGTCGTATTGGGTTGTAACCTTAATATGAAACTTAATTTCTTAGAAAGATTGTACCTACAAAAAAATTATAGACTTCACATTCAAATACATACACATATGATTCGTCCATGTAAAAGAATCAAATTTATTCCAACAATAACCATCACAATTTTTTAAAAAATATTAATTTTAAATAACATTTTGCATTAAAATCGTCATCAAATATTATACAAATTTTAAATGCTACAATTAATTTTAAAATGAAATTATTTATTTAAATAAAAATAAAAGACTATAAATATGAAATTTAAAATATGGACATAATGTTGACTTAAAATTGAAATTGTTTTAACATATTAATTATTAACATTTCTTTTGAAGTTTCATTTTTAGTATAGTTCTCTTTGTTTTACAGTTTTTCTTTGCCAAATATTAATAGAAAATATAAGGCTCATTTAAATTTTAAACTTAAACATGTACTTATCTATTATTAAGACCATACTTACTTATTTATCTATAATTTTATCTTCTAATAGTATATATATATTTGTTCTTTATTGTTCCTTATATAATTTGATGAGAAATCTTTATGTTCTATCATTTTCTATAAAAGAAAGAATGAAAATGATGCATTTTGTTCGCTGAAGATAAAAATATTATATGTACAAAAAATTACTTAAATGATAGTTATATATATTTTTTTAAAAAATAAAGGAAATTCAATGTCACCGATCAAAACCAAAAAAGTTCATATCAGATAAAGACTAGATAACTATATAATCTGTGCCATTAAAATTAGTCTGAGAGATTAGACTCGTCTCTCAGGTCAACGCCAGCTCTCAGCTCCGTGACCTTTCTTTAACAAACCTTCTAAATTTCACTGTTTCATCCTTCCCTGGGATTTTTCGCCTCTTCACGCGTCTTGAGATCGATTCCACAACTGGGTCTCTCTCAGAATCAAAATCCTGATTAATTTCCGGTGATCTAGCTTCACTTAGATCTCTCCCTCCCTGCATGTAAGTTAGTTACCCCCGATCTTGCTCTGTCTCTACCAGATTCACAATGTTGTTATTGATCATAGGATTTTGCATTCGCCGATTCGTTTCAGGAGTCTGATGACAAAAGTTTCTAACTTTGAGAGTTTGGATGATTGAGTTCGAAGTATAAATCACGAGACTTCCCGAGAAATAAGAGATAAAAATCACGACTTTCCTGGAAAAAACAGGCAATAATGCAGCAGGAAGATCGAATCGGAGGAGACGAGACAGATCTAGACTCTTTAACAAACGCTCATAAGTTTAGGGCTCAATTCTCAGGAATGGTGAGACAAAGAGCTTATATATTCGACGGAGATGGTAAATACTACAACAAGGAATGGGATCTCGCAGAAGGAACAGGTAAAGAGTTTTGTTGGTATCATATAGAACTACCAAAAGGAAACCAGAAACTCTCTCAATCCGCACAGCATCTTATAGACGCTCTGTGTCCGCCATTGAAGCTGCAAGACATTCTTTCTCTCGTTAGTAATGGACCCTTTTGTGGGCATGTTGATGGAGCGCTTGTGTTTAGAGTTAACTCACCTGGACCTGCTTCAAGCAGCTTTACATTCAAGGTTGCTGCTAGGATCACTGAGAACTCTGTGATTACTGTGTCTTTAGGACGAGTTCCTAGGCTAGGATTCTCTCCCATGGGCCAGTCGCTTCTCTCCGAGGTCCCTAGCGTTGATTCTCCGTCGTATTATCGTGGTGAGCAGAAGGAGAGAAGCGGGATTGTTATCGAGGAGCATGTTCTTGAGTTCTTGCTTACGATGAACCACTCTGAGGAAGCTGATAACCCTGTGCCGAGTTCTGTATCGAATCTTGTCGTGCATATCATTGATACGCATGTTGATCAGCTTCAAGATGTTGTCACTAAGCTCGAGATCGAATTGGATGCGGTGGAACTCGAAATGGATAGAGGTTAGTTAGCACATCTGCAACTTTTTGTGACATGTTTGATTGTTTCTTTTCAACTCTATGCACATTTGCAATTTTCTTGCAGAATGTTTTTGTATAGTTGTTTGTTGGTTTCATAAGAACAATCCGTGTTTTGACGATAGGTGGATTTGCTATGAAGAAACAGATGTTGGATGATAGAAGGTTTCCAAAATTGCATCTCAACTTGCAGCGTCTTTTGCAGGTAAATGTGTGTATATATCACTAAGCCTTAAGCTTTCAAGAACACTGTTTTGCATGCTCTCATGTCTCTGCAGTAATTTCTTTGCTTGTGGAGAATCTATTGTGATACAAAAGATCCTGGCTTTTTCTTGTTTTGTATTTACTCTGAGTTAAACATTGGCAATGAATCTCAGGTGATTGCACATGGAGAACAAGTATTTCCAAGAGTGAAGGAAAAATGTTCCACGAAGTCTTGGTTTCTAGCTGAAGACATCAACTCCTTGGAAGAGTTGATTGGCCGGTTAAGACGGTTAAAAGAGAATGTAGGCTTCATCGCGAACCGTGTGACTGCGATCCAAGCTGGTTTAGATAGCTGGCAAGCAGAGCAAATTAACCGGAAGCTCTATTACCTCTCATTTCTTTCCATCATATTCCTTCCTCTATCAATCATAACCGGAGGTATAAAAACCTCACCAAAGACTCAAATACTTTGTTTCCATGAAAACACTTGAGTAATCTTTTGTTGTTGTTGATGTTCCAGTTTTTGGGATGAACGTTGGAGGAGTTCCATGGACGGGACAAGACAAGCCAGAGCTAAGAGACGGGTTTAGAAACGTGATGTACATCTGTCTTATAATGCTGGTTCTAGTCTTGTCCTGCTTTGGTTTTCCAGCGTTATATAGCCGGATAGCTTCTTGGTGGAGAATGAGAGCTATGAACAGAAGTTGGTCTCTTAACAGAAGATCGTTCCAGAAGAGATCAAACATAGTCCAAGAAAGAAGAGGCTACCTTAGGCTCTAAAAAATCAAGTTCTCTCTTCATTTGCTTTTCTTTCACGTTTCTTTCATTTGCAGAACACATACTTCTCTCATTTCTGTAACTTTTGAGTTCAGATTTGTTCTGCTGTTTTAGATCTTAAGTAAGACTACAATGTACAGCTACTATTCTTTTGATCATTAGTTTGTTATAGATTCTTGACATATTCTTGTATGAATCTTCTGTAATTCACTGAGTTTCCTTTAACAGCTTGTTTATGTACCCAAGCTTATGTCAAAACTTTCAAGTTACATTCTTGAACAATCGCCTTTGGTTTAAATCCATCCGATAAACCGGTTTACTCAAATACCCGGTTCAGTTATCTTTCTCTCTCATTCGCAATCAATCAAACAACAACTTTTACTTCTTCTTCAATCTCTCTTTCTCTGTATCATCATCACCATCTAAATCCAACCTTGACTTTTCTCCCTTCGTCTTCTAGACTGGGTTTTACCCTTCTTCGAGCTCGAAAGGAGTCTCTAGATCGGGATTCTATCATCTATTATATTTCTGTAAACAAAAAGTTGATTCGGCGACGATGTCGGCGATATCGATCCACCACCGAACTGAGCTTCTTAGAATCACGCACAATCGGTCGCGAATTTTCCGGCAGAGATATCGGAGAACTATTCCTCCTTGGAGAATGTATAACCATACACACTTTTCTTTTCTTTTCCCCTCTCGTTTATGGTTTATCAAGAGTTTTTCTGATTAGTTTTGATTTGACCAACACAGGATGATTAATTCGAGATCTTCTGATACATCTGATAAAGAAATGTTATCAAAATCGTCAACGATTCCTCAAGTTGATCAACTAAGACCTGATGGTTTGAGATTCGACCGTTTGCAAACCCCCGAGCCGGATATTTTTCAGGAAGATAGATTGGAATTTGGTAAATTCGTAGCACGAGAAGCCATGCTTGATGAAGAATACTGGGTGAGTAAGGCACAGCTTCAATTCTTGATCCTGAGCCAATTTTTTTCTTCTAAGATTGATTGTTTTATGTTGCTTCGGAGTTTGTGATTAGACAGCAGCTTGGCTACGTGCAGAAAGTCATTGGGAAGATCGTGGCAATGAAAGGTAAAAGCCAAGAAAATTTATCAATCTTGTTGTTCATCTTCATCGTTGTGAGTAATCTGTGTTCTGATTTTTCCATTTGATAGCAAACAAATGATCTGTATTGACTGAATTGTTGTAGTAAGTATCAAATATTTTATAACTAGGTTCGATTTTTGGTTCCAATGTTGAGGTACGCCTGATTAAAAACCTGGCCTTTGTAAACACAGATATGTTGATAACTTCAAAAGGAAATTTGCAGAGCAGGTATAGCAGTTGAGACCCATTTTTTTTTTAGTTTTTTATGTCTTTCCTTAGTTTGGAGGAAAGTTTCTTCAATTTAGCTACTATTTCAATGTTTCAGGAGTTTAATGCCATAAAAAGAAGATGCAGAGGGATCCAAGCGCAGAAATACTCTTGTATTGTTGCGGTATAATATGTTTTTTTCGTTATTGTCTATACACTTTGCTTGTTTATATTATACGGTGTTTGCACTTGTTTTTCTTTCTGAAGAGTTTGCATTTTATCAGCTATTGTTGTTGCATTTTATTCAGGTAAAGAAGGAAGAGAAGCACATTAAACGCTCAGTAATCAAAAGTGTGGTTGGGACACTTGATTTGAGCATACAGTTTTTCTCGCAGGGAGAGAGCTTTCCTGGGGTATATTTCTTTTGGTTTTGGGATTCAGTTTTTTTCTTGCTTAGGATGTAAATATCAAAAAAGCTTCCTAATAATTTACATTTCACGTGTAGGAAAAGGTAAAGTCTCAATTGTTCTGCAGCATAAACCGGAAAGGATCAAATAGGTATGGTTATATTGCAAATCTATGTGTTGCGAAATCAGCACGCCGCCAGGGCATTGCTTGCAACATGTTACGTTTCGCTGTCGAATCAGCCAGATTGAGTGGTAATAATAATTAATGTCATCGGAAACAAAAAAAAAACAAAAAAAGGCCTGTCTTTGTAATGATTGTCTCTTAAGCCGTTAAATAAGTTTAACATTTGGAAAGGAGTACTTAAACCTTATGTGGATTTTATTTGGTTTGCAGGAGTTGAACAAGTATATGTTCATGTACATAGAAACAATATAGTTGCTCAGGAGCTATATCAGAAGACGGGGTTTGAGGTAAAAAAAGCTCAAATTCATAACTCCCAAAAATTGATTTTCTTGACTTTGGCACATGTTCTGTTATTGGACCAGATGGTTGAAACGGGACAATCTGAATCATCAGATGATACATACTTGCTCCAGTACATAAGATAACTTTGCAAGAAACGAAGTGTGTTCTCTCTGCCCTTTCTTTAGTTTTTATTTTGGGGAATGGGAGAGAAGAATCAAGACGCAGACGAGTGATCGATTGCTATATATCGTGGCTAAGCTCAAAACTGTTGATTGTTAATTCATTTGTAAACTCTAATGTGAAGTGTGTGTGTGTATTACGTACAAGTATGTACGATTGTAGAAAAATATACATTAAGCTTTGGATTCAAACCTCAAACATAAGCTTTGGATTCAAACCTCAAACATAAGCTTTGGATTCAAACCTCAAACATAAGCTTTGGAGTTTGCACCCTTACATGATCGGTTTGATATTAATTAAATTGATATTAGATTAAAGACCAAACGATGTTGGGACAATAATAAAAACATATCTGCTCTTCTTCTCCAAAAACAAACAGAGCAGAGATAGAGACAAGGGTCAGAGTATCTTTCACCAATCAGCAAGTTTTTTTGGTCAGATGGTCCAAGAAGGGATCCATCTTCAAACCTATGATCTTCACATTAGGGTTCGAGTGACCTCGAACGAATACATCCGTAATCTGCAAAAGAGAGCGAGAGAAAGATCAGTTTCTCTATTCAGGGTTTGTTCGTTTCTTTACGAAGAAGACGAATAGGTTTTTGTTTGTTTATTTCTTTACCTGAGTGCATCCAAAGACTTTCAACACTTTCAAGGATAAACAGTTATCGACAATGTAGCCAAATGAATCGTCTGAGATATCTCGGCACCAGGATACATCCAAAATTTGCAGCTTTCCGGAATGTTTAGCAAGTGCTGCGGCCGTGTTATGGCCAACCTGAAAAACATAAAACAAATGTGTCAAGTGTGTGACTTAAGCATGGCTCTATGGATTGGTGCCATATATGGGACAGGCAGAGACCCATTTACCTTCTTACAGTTGTTTAGTGATAGCTCCTTTAATGAACCGCCTGCGGTTTCTACAAATGCAGCTACACCTTCATCACTATTAAAAGATATCAAACATATGAGCCATCTGTCAAACTTTGACATACAACAAAGCAAGCACACATAGATCATAACAACATGACTATCTAACTCAGTATCACCATAATTAGAGAAGAGCCCGAGTAATCACGGATCATATGTTCTTAAATGAGATAGTAACCTTCCAGTAAAGAGACTTGCCTGAAAGAGTTCCGACAAAAAATCAATTTCTCCAGAGCTTGACAGCCATTTGCAAGGTGACCCAGAGCAGAATCAGTCAGCTTGCGTGCGTTAGCCAGGTCAAGTACGCTTAAATTAGGACAGTTTTCAGATATGTCTTTAACACAAGAGTCAGTTAATTTCCTGCACCACATTCCCAAAAGCCAAAAAGAAGTAAAAAACTCAATTCGGAATTGACATGAATCTAAGGAGATGGAGACGAACACGGAAATTCAAGAGGCATACACAGAGTTGGTCAAAATAAGTTGCTTTAGGGCTTGTCCTCTAGCAGAAACAAACTCCCTCAAGAACCGACCCCTGACTGAAGGAAGATCCACAAAAGACAATACTTCCAGCTTCTCAAACTTTTTTAATGCCGACAAAGCAAGCTTCAGGTCAATGTTCTGGCACTCGTTGATATACAGTTCCCTTAAAACTGACCCCAATGAATCAGATAAAATGTCAATGCTAGATGATGTTAGAAGAGAGCATTGACTGAGATTAATAGATTTAATAGCAGGAGCAGCGGAAACAAGTGTCCGTAGCCCCACATCGGAAAGCCGGCATGCACCAATTAAAGATAGAGAAGACAGCATCGGCAAGTTTTCTGGTGACCTTGCTAATGTGGAAGGTAATACATAATCTGGCATACAACGCCCACACATGTCCAGTTGAAGAACCTGTTTCAAAAAGGAGGCAAATGTGGACTTTGGTTACAATGTACACCTTAATGTCATCTTACACATGGACTTTTTCTTTAAGTATGAAAACATGTTAACCATAGGATAATTCACAATTTATTCCCTCCAGAATCATTAAGAATGAATAGCAGACCTCACCTCCGATTCAGTATCTACTATAAGCCAATTAACTACTCGGGAGTAAACTATACCACAGAATATTCAGCTAAATGCAATAAATGATGCTGTATTAAAGTAAAACAGAACTTGTAAGAATAAGATACCATCAAGTTACTGGTGTCACAGTTCTTAAAACATTCGGTGAACTCTTCCTCGGTCAGCCATGAGCAATCGGGAACAGAAATCTCTGTTGGAGTTCCACGGACGAGAAGATTGAGAAAGTGCACGTCCATTCTCCTAGAATCACAAAGCAATTGACAAAGCTTAACCCTCAGGGCGTCTGGAACATAGTCAAGCGAGGTGATGGCATCAGCATTCTTGACAAGAATTCGCAAGGATAGTTCTTGGAGAGACGGAGCTGTCGGAGGGACGACACTGTGGTTTTTTCTGGGAGCCCAAATAACTGACGAAGATCTTTCTCTGGAGATACGAGCTTCATTATAAAGAATCGTGTTCTCTTCTCGGTCCTTCATTATTTTCATGGCAGTAGAGAAGGGGCCAGGCCAATCTTCGACTTGTTGTTCAACCTCTTCATCTGACAATTCCTCATCTTCCTCCATTCCAGCATCAAAACGAGCAAATCTGGAAGCATGTTTCTCTGCAAAGTTTCGAAACCTTGAAGCGTTTCCAATTTCACCACCATTATGATGAATCTGTGTTTGTGCTGCATTAACCGGCGCAGGCAATTCGGTTTCAGAGGCTTCAGGGGGTTTCTGATTGCTAACTGAGTTCTCAAGTTCCATTTTTTCTTCTACACCAACTCCGGTAACTTCATTCGTGATCCGAGGAGGAGAGACACTCTCCAACTGAATACCCTTACCCTTTTCCTCCATAGTATATTTTCTTCTACCCATTGAGCTACTTGGCATCTCAACACAATTCACCTGCACATCACTGCCTATGTAAGAATCTTCCATTATCCCCTTTCCTTTGTTCTGACTCTCTACTAGCAAAACTTGAGCATGATTCTCATTGTCACTCCTATCTTCAATCACAGTCTTTCCCTCCTCCTCAATGATCATTCTTCTGACAGTATCACCCATAATATCTCCATTAGCCACTGCATAAGCTTCATTGTTGTCTGATTTATTGCTCATAATATCGTCTTCTTCAACCAAATCCACACAAACCCTCTTGCGTTTACTCTCACTTCCTGATTTTCCCTCTTGCAAAACCTTATCTCCACTGATTTCAACTTCATAAAGACCATTGTCTACACACCTCTTAGCAACTCTCTTCCCTGACCGCAAACTCAAAAACCTCTCATCAACACTAACCTCTTTCTCAGAAAATCCATTCAGAGATTCATCGCCGTCGTCGCCGCATTTATAAGCAAGAAGAGGACTTCGCCTCCGGGAAGTGTTCGTGGGTCCATCAACAGGATCCGATCCTTCGTGTTCGGGCTCAACTGGCGAGCGGTGAACATTGGGCTCTTGTGTCCGAGCGGGAGTGGACGGCTGGCTGATGTCGGACCGTCGTTTAGGGAATGGCTTGCCTGAGATCGATGGTATTTCACGAGATCGGAGTATCGTCATGGTTGTATCGGCGATGGAGAAGAGGGCTTTTCTGAAACGACGAGGAGGAGAGAATCTCAGGGGTTTTTAAGTTGAGGAAGACAGAGAAAAACGGTTCGATTGTTTACTTAACCGATTGGTTTAGCCATTCAAATGAGGTAAACCAGACATTTCATTGTTGAACCATGCAAAACATTCGTAAACTGAAACTGATTAATCTATTTACTCAGTTTAAAGTTGAACTTGATTAATCTATTACCCAGTTTAATTAATAGAATCTATTAATAGTTACTATTAAAAGGGAAACACTTTTTGTGTTAAGTTTAATTTTCTTTAATTTTCTACTGTTTTTGAATAACTATTGCCAAATAAAAATATTAAATTGATTTCAATTTAAATTTACCAAACAAACAATTTAGTATACTATTAATAAAATAATATGTTTTTAATTTATATTTTAATATAAATCTTAAAATTTAAATTTTAATGTAGATTTGTTATAGATTTCTTTCAATATAGGTTATATTATTTATCAGAAATTATAAAATAAATTATTATTATATCTTTACAAAAATAATAAACCATATATTAAAATAAAATTAATTTATATATTTAAATTTAAATAATATTTTCAATAACAGAGATAAAAATAATATATTATTCTATATTTTATTAAATAAATATAAAATTTTTAATATTCAAATTTAATAAATATTTAAAAATATACAAAAATATGAACGAATGTGTTAGAATTATATTTTAATAATCAAACTTTTTTGGATTAATATAAATGAGCATTATAATCGTAGTACTTTTTGAATTAATATGAAGAGACGTATAAGAATAATTTTTTTTAATCATGATCATATATAATATTAAAATAAATAAATCAATAGAAACAAATTATATCTAAACAAAAAATATATTTATCACTTATTAGAAAATTATATCTAAACAAAAACAAAAATACAAAATATATTACATAAATAAAAAAATAATGCAGGAAAACAAATTAAATTTTTTTTAAAAAAAAAGTAATTTCTGTACAGAGTACGGAGTAGAATCTAGTTGAACTTTTAAAGTTGAAGCTAACACTAAAATTAGAAACTTTCTTAATTTTAAAATTTAGAAACTTTCTTAACTTTAAATATTGATGTGGATCACCAATAGAATTAAACTTTTAAATCATATATGGATATGCTTAGAGACATATAGCTTCAACTTTAAAAGTTCAATTCTACTGGTCTACATAGGCATATAGCTTCGACTTTCAGTTTAATTTATCGTCATAGTTATATGTCTCTAAGCGTGACCACATAAAATTTAAAAGTTCAATTATATTGGTCCACATCAATATTTAAAGTTAAGAAAGTTTCCAAATTTCAAAATTAAAAAAAGTTTCCAAATTTCAAAATTAAGAAAATTTCCAATTTTTATATTTGTATTATTACCACAAAAAATATATTTATCCTATCTAATACTAGGTCTCAAGCCCCCGCAAAATCACGAGAGAAATCAAGTATTTTAAATTCTTAATTACCTTAAATATAGATAAATAAACATACATATAAAAAAGGTGATGATATTTAGATGTGAATATTTATTTTTTTTTTTAAATTACTACTATTATAAAAAATAAATAGGATATGGTTTTCGAAATTGAAGAAAATCAATTATCAGTTCGCCCTAAAGCTCTTCTCCCAGGCACATTCTCCTAGGCGCCGCTTCACCAGTTTTCCCTCCGACTTCCTCCACTTCCGGTGACGCCATCTCCTTCGATTCTCACCCAAGTGACCACCACCGCCGTTCTCTTGGATTTGAGTCGAACCTGTCTCCGGTCTTTGGCCGTGAGATTAGGATCGACAAAATCGCACATCCCTTCACCGAGTCTTTTTGCTCCTCCTCCGGAATCGCTCCTACCTCTGGTGCAGATCTCTAGCGAAACTCTGTTAGATCTGTCGCTTTGTTACACCATCTCCTCACACTGCTTTGCCGCTTCTCGGCGTTCTTGCCTCTCAGCCGATTAACCAGCTCGCCATCGCATCGTTGTCCTCCCCACATGCTCTCCTCCGCTGGATCTGGCTTTTCGTTGCTGGCGAGTCTTCCTCTCCTCCCCACAGTTGGATTTGGAGATCTTGAAGCTCGCCTCAGTCCGAACACCGCCATGACCGCATCCTCGAGAGCATTGTGCTATTTTTCCGACATCTCTATCTCCCCGGCCCTCCAGGTTCGCCTTTGCTCACTCTCCGTTTCTTTTGCTTTTGAAAGATATCGGTTGCTTGTTGATCGTGGGTGTGTCGGTGTGTGTCGAGGGTTGTCAAGTTTTACCCTAAATGAAATCAATAGCCGCAAGTGCACAGCTGATCGATTGTAGTACTTAGGGATCGAATCCACAGGGAATGAGGATCTTTTCCTGCAAAAAGCCTTTGAAATAAGTATAAAGTAAGGAAGTCTAGAACTAAACGGTTTTGTGGGGGTTTGGTAGTGTGTTTAAAATGTAAAAACGAAATCTTAAAAGAAAATACAGGAATTAAATGGCGTAATAACTAAACTTGATGAAAATGACTAAAAATGAGAAAAACGGATATTCTAATTGCTTGAATGAAAATCTACTAAAAAGGAAAGACAATATTGAACTAAAGCTTGAAAGAAAATCGGTGTAAATCAATGGGAAAGAAGGCGTTGGGCTTCAGGGAAGCTTCTCAGGGGTACGAACGATTCAAAACATTGCTAGAGAGTAAATTGATAAGATCTTAGCTTAAATTTTTTGAACTGGAGTCACGGACGTATGAATACGCCACTGTCGTGATCATAGACAACTATCTCTCTCAACCCTGACCAGTAGGTTTCCACTCTGGCCCTGGAAGAGAAGAGATGCATTATGTTTAAGACTCGTCCTAATTCACAAATCGCCCATAGGTAGGTTTCCACTCCTATGTTTGTTTTACTCTCCCAAACTAGATCTGATACCTGATGAACACCTTCGTGTCACCAAGCATCTGGATCAAATTGTAGTTCATGATGCTACTCTCATGCAGTAAAAACGCATTCAGAAGAAAAAGTTCTAAGATTCGGCTCAAGAGCTCATGGAATCCTCATCGAACTTATAAATCCCCATCAAAAATCCCCATCGAAAATCCCAACAATAAAACTACTCAGACATGAACGAAATCAAAAACATAGTATTAAGAAGTAGAATAGAAACCGAAATTGAAAAAGAAAGAACAAGGGTTCAAGAGAACAAATCTCTCTCTCCCTAAAAGCTAAAGCAAAAACAATAAAAGTATGAAGTAATGATAGATGATATTCGGTTCTCTATGATTTAGGGTTCCTAAGACATGTATTTATAGTGCTCAAGAACTCTCTGGACGTCACTTAGGGTTTCTACAAATGTGGGCTTCAGAAATGGGCTTTTTGGGCTCGGAGGTTGATGGCCGCGGTCGGGACAAGTGTGACCGCGGGGAACAAGTGTTTGGCCGCGGTCGGGATGCTCCTGACCGTGGGGAATGAGTGTTTGGCCGCGGGTGGAAGTGCTTGCCAGCTGGTTTACGGGACATCTTGCTCTTCGCGTATCTTTTGATTGAACCGTTGGATTGCCAAGATGTAAAGTGCACTGGAAAGCTGATACTTCCATCTTTAAGGTCTCCAAATTTGAGCTGGATCAGACGGTGAGAAGGCCTTCAATCAGGGGTGAACTTCTGACGGTTTGACTCTGAGCTGAAATCTAGTTTTCTATCCATTTTGTTAAGTTTTTCCCTAAGTTACCTGAATAGAGTCTTGGAACTACAAATACAAGAAAAACATAATAAAAGTACTTAAAAGCAATTAAAAACATAGAAAAAGTATTTCAAAACGAACCATAAAAGTGGTCAAAATACGGTGTTATTAACTCCCCCAGACTGAAACAATCTAAATCTTGATTCCAGTCAACTAGCTCTCTACATTCATTAAGTTCAATAGTGAGTTCTCATTAAAGACATCATCCAGGGTAGACGGCGTTTGGCATTAAAGGGTTATTTAAGGGGTGGAGTTAAAGTGTTTCGGATTACCTGAAGATCTAGAGGATGCAAGATAATATGCAAAACAGCAAGAGAGATAAGGATCTGTTGATGACCACAGTTTTCAGTCACTTCTTCTTGCCAAATGTTGTTGCATAATCCTTCCTCCTTTGTTGTAAACAGCCGTTCCCCCAGACTTAGATTCTTTCCGGGAATCAGAAAACAATCTCCAAAACTCCATAAAATCAAATTCCAGTTGCCTTGGGACTTAAAATTCGACCTCTCTAGACTCTCTAAGGCTTTTATTTCCTTTCTTTTCTTATTTTCGGATTTTTTTTTTTTTTTTTTTGAAAGGAAATGCCTTTTAAAGAGAGAGAGAGAGACTAGTGGACAAGATTGTACCAAAATTTGAGATTATTCTAAGGCAAACTGAGCTTCCTCTTGTGTTGAATCCTTCCGGGAATTCTTCCGGCAAATCGCAGGTCTCTGTCCTTGGTGACTGAAAACTACGTCGTTCTTCTTTCTCTCCAACGTTTTTGCACTTATCTGCATATAAGACAATAGAAAACAAGAGTGTATGTGGTTTGAAAGAGGATTGGTTAAGGTGGGGAACTAGCTAAAGATGAACTAGCCATTCAGGATCAACAAAGAGTGGTAAAAGGATAAAGGAGTCCTGAATGTATGATTCGTTTCCCTGGTCTAATGCTTCAATGAGAAAATTAAGTCCAAATAAAACAGAGCTAGTGTATCCCTTCATCTAAATCGAAATCATTCAAATTCCTCTGGGGTACTTCGTTTCAAATGTGCTTAGCTACCACCTAGTCTAGTCCTAAATGATGAATGAACATGTCTTTAGGAATAGTCTAAAGCACACAATCAACTATCATTGATTTATGTTCACCATTCCCTTAAAACGTATTTTGTTTTGAAAACCGATTTTAAAAAACTTTAAGGAAAATGCAAAAAGTGTAGATAATGCAAGACTCATGAAAGAAAAGTGGTTAAAAAGGGATGAAATCCTCCCCCAGACTTAAATCAC